AATATCATTTAAAAAAAGAAAAAAGAAAAATTTAGCCCCTAACAATTTTGCGCCCGGGGCAGTCACTCCGTGCCCCACATGCTATGCCAGTGGTCCTGGCAATGGGGATGGGGTATATCTGTACTTGCACACCAGTGATGTGGTGGTGGGTGTACACCAAGATCACATCACCACATGAACAGGCCACATGACACAACACTTTGCCACTGCAGATGTTAAGATTCACTGCTGGTCTCTAAGGTGCCTCTTCCTCTTCCTCCTTCTCCACTGGACCCTTTCTTATTTCTACTGCAACAGAATAACTCAGCCCACCCTCTGGATTTTTATCACTAGTACTTTATCTTTGTGGACAGACGAGAGGTATATGGGATCATATAAAATGGTAGGACAGGTATCAAGAAGGAAAGTGTAACAGATAAGTTGAATAATACATTTATCTCCGTTTCTGAGATCAAGGTAAGTTATGATTCTCCCAGGAGAGTGAAATACTGAATGAGTTATTTTGGATTGGTACTTATTAAATTTCATATTATCAACAGCATGACACAATGCTAGGTGCAATAACATGTTTAATTTCTGAGATTTTGAGCAGGGAGTTTTTGCAGTAAAAGGGAGAGATTTTTATTTGAACAATTCTCAAAGTCTATGAGCTGCAGTTTGGGCCACAAGAAGCAGGTCCAGTTGCTTTTCTGACTAGCCTGGTTTTGCCTTCTCTAACAGGAGAACTCAGGCGGAATGCCTTTCACAGACCCACCCATCACCTGTGGGCCTTCACTTGAGGAAGCTGCGTGATGCTGTACAAGAAGAAGAGCTCCCCAGGGCTCAGTCATTGTTCTGGGGCACCAGTGAATTGGACCCAAGTTGACGGATTGGGCCTCCTCTAGTTACCATTGCCAAACTCTTCTATATTGTGAGCTCAAGCAAGAAAAGGAGCCTTGGAACTGGCAGGTCCAAGAAGCTCATCAGGGGAACCAAACTAGGGTTGCCATATTTCAAAAAGTAAAAACCAGGGCACCCTGGAAATTGTTGAATTTATTTTAGACAACCCCCAAAGTTGTTGAGCCAAAAAACCCACAATTTTTCAGTTGACTTGCCTAAGATCCAAGACAAAGCACCGCCTTTCGGAAATTCCCCCCGGACGTCAATTCTGCCTTTGAAATCCCAGTAATGTCCAGAAAAACCTGGACGTATGGCAGTGCTAGACCAAACACTCCAAACATCGCTCTCCCCACAAGCCAGTTACAGGCTTAAGAGTCCCGCATGCCTCTCTGGCTCTCTGGTAAGGTTGTGGTTGCTCCAGAGAGGAAGCCACTAGTGGGTGCTGCAGGTCTGTTCCCACCAGCCTGCAAAAGCAGGAGGCTTGGAGGGTGGGAGGGCTGAGCTCTCTTTTTGTCAGTAAGGCAGGAAACAAAGACCCTGTGCCTGTCTTGGGGAGCAAAGCACTCAGGGGGAGAATGTACAGCATGAGGAATGTTGGATCTGATTTTAAATGGAACAGTTTTGTCATTCTGGCTGGCACTGAGTGCATTTCGTCCGTGCATGTGTGCATTTTGTTGTTGATTTCACAAATCCTTATTTCACACAGAGATGTCGTGCATGAGAATATAAGGCCATGATATCATATGAAAGCAAATTATATTTTCTGGAATTAAAAAAAAAAGTTGTCTTCTAAATTTTTTGTCCACGACAAAGGAACACCTCGTGTTCTTGGCTGGTGTGAATTTCATACATTAGATGGAGCCCCTTTGATATTTAGAGAAGGATTTTTGACACTTTAATAAGAGAATCTCCTCATCCATCATTTGCCATTCTCGTCTGTCCAAGCACCATCGTAAATTTCAGCCTCCTCCATATTCAGAGCTTGTATAAATAAAAAGCCATTGTGATCTGGGAGAACCGAGAATTTCCCTTTTCCTGTTTCTCTGCCCATTAGGAAGGTTTTCTTGTGTGCGCCTCAAACTCCCATAAGACAAATAAGCACCATGCGAAAGAAGAAGCCCCCTTTTGTGCTCCGTGGAAGCCTCATTTGGGGGCTGCTCTGTCATCGGCAGAGAAGCCTCTTCTCCATTACAGCCTGCTCTTATTACCAGCCCTCTCTCCCAGTCCTTTCCTATGCTATTTTAGGGATTATGCAGCTTCTCTGAGATACTCTGAGATACTCTGAAATTAATCAAGGCAAGCAAAATCTCCTGCCATGTTATCCGTCACTGGAAGAGAGGTGAGAGTGGATTCTGCAATCCAGGAGGCAGTTTTGGAGGTCGTGTCTGTCCAGTAATCACAAACCCTCCTGTTCCCAAAATGAAGCAACCTTTCGTCAGAGGCTCAAAAGCAAAAAATTTGGCCTAACAGAGGCTATGTTCCAAGCAGAACGCCAGACTCTTCATTGGCATTCAGAGCTGAACAACATAGGATGCTGGCTACTTTACCTCCTTTTGAAACACTTCCTCAGCTGCACCTGGATAGGGAAGGCTTCTGTGCAGTGAGAAGAGATGCAAAATCTGCAGGGATGCTTCCCCCCACCCCCACCCCCCAGCCAGATTTATATTTCAATCTCTTCCCCAATCAAGCCCTGCACATAATTTCCCCCAATAAGTTAGTCTGCATAGTATGGCTGGCAGACACTTAGTGTGATTGCAAATAATAAAAGCAGATTATCCACAGAGTTGGTTGAGTGACAATTCTGACTTGCCTTGACCCAGTGCCCAGGGAGATAAGAATTAATCTTATAAACCTCTGCACACTTCTCCTTCTGATCTCTGAACAACATGGAGGGGTTGCATTAGCCCCCCTTTGTCCTCAGCTCAGTGACATTAAAACGCAGGGGACAGACTAGGCACTGTACTATCACTCAGGCTTGGTCTAGGGCAGTGCGGAAAAGCACCCATTTGTGATGGAGGTTCTCGGCTCCGTTGGCACTCAACATACTGTTCTTAGTTTTGGCCCCGAAGCCAGGATGTCTCAGAATAATGGTGGTTTGTGTGGCATCCTAAAGAATTGCCAGCACTCATTGTGCGACAGTGGCAAAGTGGCAAAGTAGAAAGGAAAGGTGGAGAGAGGTCACCCTCCCCCTGCCATGCAAGAAGCACAGTCTAAGAAGCCTCCAAGAGGTCTTGTCAATCATGGCTTTGCAATGAATAATATAGAACATGCAGAAGCCGCAATTTCCCTCAGAACTCATTTGGCCTATAAACCATATTTTTCCGGTAGGCAGTCCATTGTGTATGAAGAGCAATCTGGTATGCTAAAGAGCACGCACACACACACATATATGTATTCCGTATAAAATGCATACACCCAAATAAGCAGCTCAAAACTAACAATGACCTTCCCTTTTATTTGATTCCCATTGTTTGAAAGCAAACAAAAGTTATTCTGTTGCCACCAATTTTTTCACCTGATTACGCAGTAAAGATCTCCATAGCAGAATCAGAGGTGGGGTATGCAGAACTGGCAAGGAGGTTTACCGTGCAGTTGGGCGGAGCTGCATGGGAAGCCAGTGGCACCCAAGATGCCATTTGGATAGCGAAGCATTATAGCTACCGTAAAGGCATGGGACTGGCCTTGCCAAGGAGAACTGGGCTATGATAGTGTCACTTAGCCATTCTGCTTCATGAGCCACACTCCCCTATCACCACAATTCCATTTATTGCATCTTCTGAAAAGGATGTTCTCTGCTGACAAGCCAAATTTAAGGATCTGTGCCATGTGACCCATGTGACAACAAAGATCTTAAGGTGCTCAAATATTGCAACCAAAGAATCATATAATTGTAGTGCTGGAAGGTACACCAAGGGTCATCTAGTCCAACCCATGGGATGCAGGAATCCTGCCCATAACAGTCCCAGGATGGGGTCAAACCTCCACAAATGTTAAGTTGGCATCTCCTGACTTCAGTCTGGTTTTCTTTGTTAAGGCTCTGTGGGGGTGCAGGGCAGCAAGTTAAAACAAACAAAATGGAGGAAGGGCAAGTGCAGCTGAGCTGAAGGAGTAAACAATGATTCTGAGCACCGTGGAGGAGCAGGCACATTCCTTCCCTTCTGAGCTAGAGCTGCTTCTGCTTGAGATCCCTAACCCAGGCAGCATCAGTCAAGTATTTTGGTCTCCTTAAAACTGCTTCTTTCCCCCACTTGTGTTAATACAGACATTAAGTCTAATAGTATCTACTTAGCATAAACAAGAAGATAAAAATGATTTCTGTGATTGAAATGTTTGTTATTTAGCATTAGGCGTCTTCATACTCTCGTATGTTTTGCATTTTAATCCACTCTATGCTTGGTTTTGGGATTGATAGATTAGTTTTAATCCCCTGTCTAATAGTGGAGGGCTGGTGAGATTTATTAAACAGGCAGGGCTTGGCTCCTGGATTTAAGAGGGCTCCTCATTATGCATCTACTTCGCTCATGCATATTGCATTGGGGGATCCACCCGTGTCTCTCCTTGTCCTCGGAAGCACTTTGGAGAGGCCCATTAGCCGCGAGGGCCTTCACTTAGTCCGGCCTCCAAGGGCAGGAAGCATCTCATTTATAAATGAGGGAAATCCGGATTGCACCTGAGCGATACAAATATCTGAAGGAAGGGTTCTCATTGTTAATGCAGCCTATTAAACATCTCTTAAAACCATTGTGGACATTTTACAGTTGGACTCTTTCTATTTGGGTAGAAGCATTGGGTCACAAAATGAATGTGACACACACAAATAATTGATGCAGAAAGAGTCGAGGGCAGGGAGAGAGATCACATTATCTTGTAAAAGAGGAGAATCTGATTAGAAAACACATATAAAGTAGGCTTTTAATTTTTCTTCTTTCCAAAGCCTTAATGTATCATTGGCTCTGATGACTGGCTATAATTTAGTGCATTCCGAGAATGTTTCCCTTAGAAAAGGGACTGCACATGTGGGCAGCTGTTTCCATTTAGGACTTTCTCTATCTACTAGACAGCCAATACAGGAAGTGGGACAGGAAGTGCCTTAAAGAAGTGGTGCCTCCTAGTGGTGGATGGCACCCACATCAGTGTACAAGCTACGCTTGCCACACCACTAGAGCTTTTGGGTGTTGGGGTGGAGGGAAGCTGCTTTGGGAATATTTTACACTTCCAGAACCTCTGTCTGCAAGCATCCCTCAGTGTTTGGCTGACGGGTAGGGATCCTGTGTTCTTAACATTCTTTTCTACTTTGCAGGGATGACTCCCAGCTTTAAATATATGTAATATAAGCAAAAACTATATATAGTGATAGTTATATTAAAATTAGGCAGTGAAGCCCCCATTCCCTGCTAATTTAACCAGTCAGTGGTTCTTCCGTCAGAACTTGGCAAAAAGACAAAGAAATGGGACAAGCGCTATTTAGAGTAATTAAAAGCAAAAAGGCAATAATAAAATCCCCTGAGAGAAGGTCTTTCTCTTTAATGCTTTGTAGTGCTGAAAATAGCTCAGTTTCTTCAACTTTCTTTCATGACAGATCCTAAAGCATTTCTAAGGGTACCTAATTCTAAGTTGCACCATTCTAAATACATACACCAGCCTTTTTCAACCTGGTGCCCTCCAGATGATTTGCACTATAATTCCCAGGCAGGGACTGATGGGAGCGATAGTCCAAAGCACCCTGAAGGCTGGATTCAAATGTAAGCTATCTCTATTATTGAATAATTTTATTTACAAATTAGCTTCACTGGAGAAGAGGGAGATGTGTAAACTGGAATAATGCAGTTCAGGATTTTTGGGGAGTGAATTTTACAAAGAAATGAAACCTGGTCAGTTGATCATAATTCAGCACCTTTCCACTTAGGCATAATAAAACTAAACCTCAGTATGAATCATCTGGGAAGGGGTTCAAGGCTGTGCTAAGACCACCTGAGCACATAAACACAAAGATCCCATTAATATTGAACTCTACGACTAATGTTACACTTGATTTCTGTTGTTTATTTAATTCCATTTATGAATCACTTCCTGTAAAACATCTCAAAGTGATTTAATAAACACACACACACACACACACACACACACACAAATATACATTTGTTTAAATTGTTGATGTTTCTGTATTATATATAATTTCATATATAATGTGTTATATAATTATTATGTATTATATAACTTCCTATATAAAAACAATTTCAAATCCCGGAGAGACTGGGGAGGAATTAAAAATGATACAGTAGAAACAGGAAGGAATAGCGGTGTGTCGGGGTGTGTGTGTGTGTGTGCTGTTTGCTTCTAGAGAGTGGCTGGGAAGGTTTTCTGATCCAAATGGTGCTTCCAAATTAAAATGAGGATGCCTGACTCTCACCAAATATATGTCTATCCAAAAGGAATTGGACTTTTATCTAGGCTTGGACTTTCAAAGCTCTTACTGATGTGTTTGTATTGTAAAACTGGGTTTTTAAATCTGTATATCACCTTGTGATATTTCATACACAGAGCCGTAGCTACTGGGGGGCTGGGGGAGCCGGGGATTTTTGCCCCAGGTGAAGCTTCCAGAGGAGCGCCATTGAAGCTCCCAGCCTCTGTGTGCATTTGCAAATGCGCATGGGGTGGGTGTACCAACCTGGGTCTTTGACCCAGGTGAAATAAAGCCTATTTTTGCCCCTGTTATACAAATAGGAAGGAAGGAAATAGTTGCTTGCCTCTTCTGTCAAGGAGAACATGCTTCCAAACTGGGACGGTATTTATGAACATATGCTTAACTTTCTGAAAACTATAGATGTTGGGAAATTCCATCAGAAACAGGAGCTGAGCTGAAATTCACATGTTTGTCAGAAGCCAAGAACAGAAATTGTGCAAGAGAATGCAAGCAGTATAATTCCTTTATTTAGTCTCCAAACGCTATGTAAATAATTAAGTTATTTTCTGCATTGTTTTTGATGCTTCCCTTCCATTGCAATGCACTGAAATTGATTATAGTACATAATTAAGTATGTTTATTTCAGCCAGAGTGGATAGTGAGACGAATGATGCAGGTTTCAGCAGAAGCCACACTGGAGTGGAACAGGAACAGCGTCTGATAAAAGCAGGACAAGACAGAAATCACGGCCTTCTTACATCCCTACTGAAAGTGCAGCATCCAGTTCCTGGCCTTTTATGATGGACTTTCCTACACAGGAATGCAAAACATGATTCTCTGGAGCAGAAACACAGGTCGGATGCCAGATTTGGAGAGGCAACAGCACAGCGCTTGCCTCCTTGCTGCTTCTGTTTGAGTTCACCATGCCACAAAGCTAAACCAGAAGTTGTGGGACCTTTATTTGCAATGGTATGTGTTATTTTTAAACAGGTTGAGGGCTTATTTCTCTACCATGGACAACCAGGAATTGTGACATGCCCACTCTGAATCTCACATGTGGTGCTCTGCCTTTCTGGTCTAGACGTAGTCCAGAACAGCTGGTTTTCAGAACTCTCTGCCTTGCAGGATTTCCTGGGTGTTCACTATCTCATTCGCACATTCAGGGCTAGCAAAATGACCTACAGTGTGTTTGTGCTGCTCTTAATGGGAGCTAGAGATGCTTCACATCTGGAATGTTCCTGGTCCAGTTGTAGCAAAATGGGATAGTTGTTCCATTAAAAAAAAAAAAAAACCACTTCCCAGGATCCGCTTTGTGTCTCTCATTCATCACCCCAGGTGTAGCAAAATGATGTACGGTGCATCTTGGCAGCCTCCGGTGATGCATGACTTCTTCACAAGCCTTTGGACCAGCAGCGGGTGCAGTTTCCTCCCTGAGCAGTGTGGTGGCAGCATTTCCACAGAGAACTGTGAAAAAATGCTCCCGAATGTTTCTCACACTGAGACTTTCATCTTGAAAATTAAATGATCAATTACAAAAAGAAAAGAAAAGAAAAGAATTGGGTTTTGGTGTGTGTGTACCTCTTATGTAAACTGTTTTGAGCAAGGGAAGTTCTGGACCTTTATTAGTTATTTTGGGTGTCTTCTCCCTCTCCCAGAACTGGGCAATGGGCATTTTGGAAATGAAGTTTCATCAGTGAATAAGATTAAATATTGCAACCGCAGCCTGTCCAGGCCCAGGATAGCTAAGCAGAAGCAGGTGGTGGTGGAGGAACTGGCTCAGGAAGGCAGCTGTGCCTGATGATTGAGGAAAGGTTTGTCTCATTAGCTCTCATGTTCAAAATCCTCCTGGTGAGAAGTTGGCCAAAGTGGCCCACTTTCGCGTTTCCCCATCAGATCGATGATTGGAATTAGCAACAAATCCAAGTGACTCGGTTGTGATTATTGGCAAACATAACACACATTCTCATACAACGTCAGAGAAACTGGCCAGAAATGGGAGATGGGAATTGGGCAGGTCAGAATGATCTTGCTCAGCAGCTTAAAAATCATGAAGCAAAACTGGGGTGGGATGTGGGGAGAAACCATGGAAGTGAAAATCTGCTCTTGGGTTCGACAGACAAATGCGCTCCCCGGCCAGATTGTCACCAGGTTAAGGCCAATAGAGGTCTGAAGTGGAAGCTTTGATGTGTTTGCTGTGAAGAATGACAGCGTGTTGGTCTGGGGCAGGTCTTGCCTAGTGAATTTCCCAGGCTGAGCTTCTAGCCAAGGCCAGGGATTCCACTCAAGTCTCCTGCAGAGCTGAAATATTCTACGGCATCCCTGCTCATCACCAAAGGCTCCGTACTGCTAGAGCTGCCTTTCTTTCCCTCCTTTGATTATTTCCCAAAGAGCGGTCTTCCTCTGCTGGGTTGGGCTTCTTCCCTGCTTTCCTAACCTAATTCTGGAATCAGGTCCAGCTCCCCACTGGTGACTCCTTGCTATGCTCATCAGCTGAGATTAGGCACTATTTCAGATTTGCTGCAGAACTGGCAATATACTCCAAATTGCAGATCCATAGCTGCCTCTGCCTCTTTTTCTTCTCTTTAAGAGGAAGGCAATCATCGTTAGGGCTTGACTCCTAGAAATAAAATCAAAGTGCTGATAATACTTTTGAACTGACATTTTCAATGGGTGTTGATAATGAAAACCTTTCAGCACCAAGAGGTATCATAATTGATGGCCTGTAATTAATATTTGAAAGGCACGATGGGTGATAGGCAGGTGTGTGCATATACAAAAAACCTGCATAATTGGGATGTTGTTTCTGTGGTGTGCAAATATTATGCGTGTTGTTTGGGTTGGGGGGTGTTGTGTGTGTGGGAGGGGGATTTCTCTTTAGTCTGTAAACATGCAATGTGAAAGGAAAAGAAATGTGACCATGAGGGGAAAACCCCGGCAGGTACTGAGAGCCCCCCTCCCCCCCCGTCTCCATGGAGGTGCCTTCCTTGCTTTCACTTTCTTTTCAGATCACCATGTTGGTACAAAATGAGCCAGGAGAGGCAAGAATTCTAATGAGGTTTTAAAAGAAACCAAACTGTCCCCTTTTATCGCTTCTGATTTGCAGAGGCACAGAGTCAGGCCTGGGGAATCCTTTAAGATGTATTTATAATCATAAAAAGGGACTTATTTGGACTTTTAACGGAAAAAGGGAAAGAAGGGAAATTATACAAAGGGCAAAGCAGAGAGCTGTCTCTGAAGGGCAGTTATTGCTTGCCCTTGCGCGGAGAAAAAGGCTCCCTCAATGGGATTACGTCCCCTCTCATAACCTATCAGTCGTCTGATCAGAAATTCATAATACAGGCCATCTATTTCTCAGCCCAGCGAGGGCTGCATGATTGAATTTAAATAGGCAAATGCCAGACTTGGGCTCTGACATTCTCCTTGCCTCTCTCAATCTTTCTTTTTTCGCCTGCCCTCCCAATCATCATGTCCTCTCCCCCCCCCCCCCATTTCTCTCTCTCTCTCTCTCTTTTCTTCCCTTTTCTCTACTTCTCTGTGCACCACCATTTTATATTAGGCATGAACTAGCATGATGAGAAGTTATCAGGAAATGGAGGATAGATGGGGGGAGAGGCAGGCAGGCAGGCAAGAAGGGAGGGAGGGAGGGGGCCAGGCACACACACACACACACACACACACACACACACACACGGAGGGAGGGAGGCTGAGAGAATTGGATGGCAGAAAATTGTAAATTGTTGCTGTCATGCTCTCCCTGGGACAGTAAAATCTGTTTTTAAAGGCCCTCTTCTTCCTCCACCACCTCCCCCCTCAATTATTTTTTTCCACTATCACCCCCACCCCACCAAAGAGGAAATATTTCAAGATAAATTATCCAGGTGGTTGCCTTACTAAATCAGCAGAATGGCCACGAGAAAGAGCCGCTCTGTGTTCGCTTTTGCTTTACATCTCAGAGAAGGGGAAGCCAAATGCACCCGAGGCATTTAATTTGCCAGGAAAACTTTCCTGAGAGAGGCTACAAAGGAGGAGGCATCTCATCCTGCAGCCTCTCTTGGGATGGTGATACCCACATTAGTGCTTTGGTGGTGATTGGAGCGGGGAGGAAGATGCAATGCACACAGAGACCCTCCTCTATGCCAGCCACAAGCACATGAGCTGGACTGCAGTGGATAGTTGGAAAACCCAGAGATGCCAGTTGGGACAAAAGAATGGAAAGTCTTTTCTGCTCATCTGCAGGGCGTACGCCCCCCCCCCCATTTTTAAGAAATTGAAACAAGAAACAATATGCTTGACCAGGTTAGTTGTGTGGGAATATATGCAGGGCAGTGGGAACCGCAGTCCAAAGTAGTTTAATGGGGTGTTGATGGAGTCATTGGATGAAGAAAGGTTCCCGAGGAGATCCCCTACCATGAAGGGGAGATGCAGCAACATACAACATACAGCTAAGGAGCCCTCATTGTGCCCTGCCTTCTCTTTGTCCATTCAAGAAGGACCCAACTGAGGCCCTGCAGTGGAGCAGGGAGCCATCATCTTAGCAGATTTCACTGCAGGTGCTGGCCTGCAGTGTGCTTCACACAATGTGGCTCCCCCATCCCTGAGCTCAGTTGGCAGGGAAGAACTTCCTGAAGCCCCTGGGGTACTGCTTGGATTGAGGTGGGGGCAGTGTGGCGCACCCTGCAAAAAAAACAATAATTCCCGTTGAAATAGGGAAAGTTGAGTCCATTAGGAAGAGCCTTCTGTTTTCCACAGTTGCCATGGACTTCAGTCTCATGAAATAAAAAGAAGAGAGGCCAACCCATGTTCCTCTGTGCTAAGAAGACACCTAGGCAGATATTATTACTGCTAGCCGAGGGCGTGTGATGAAGAAGCCTTTCCTTTTCCTCGCTGCCACAGTAGGGGGAAAACAAAGACTGAGTGGAAAACAACTCAGAAATGAGTTTTGTGTGTGACATGCGGAGAAGAGCTTAATAACCTCACCTTTTGATCATCACTAATTTCCACTCTCCGGGCTAAAGAGATCAGGCTGTTCTGCATTAATAAAGAGGTGACCTGTTGGATGCTGGCGCATGTCTGACAGGGTTTGCGCGTCCTCATAATCAAACCACCCAAGGAGAGAGCGAAAGAGAAAGAGAGTGTTTGAAGGGAGGGACTCCGTGGGTTGCTCACACATTTCCCACTACAGCAGAGGTTGGATTTCAGCCCCCCACCGGCTGTTGTTAAGTGTCCGTTTGGGGGATGGTGGTTATGGGGGTTTGATTTTCAAGGAGGCTCTTTGCAAAGTCTGTTCATCCTGGGATGCCAGAGAGGCGAGATTAGATCCTGGAACAAAGGACTGATTCCATCTCTTTGACATCTCTCTGTCTTTGACGGCAGTCACCATCACATTGTCCCCTGCAGGACAACTGGGACCTTGACGTGAAGGCTCTGGACATAGCCCAGGCACTGTCCTTCCTGTGTCACCCACCACCAGGCAACCTGCAGGCCATGGGGAGCTCTAGTTTGACCTCTAATGCTCTCTGGCACCGGAAGGCTGCAGTGCAGAAACTTCAGTGTCGAATCCCAGCAAGATCAGTGACCTTGGGAGCCAATAGGATCCCATATTGCCTTATACCTGCTGCCTCTAGTCTCTCTGCTCTGTGCAGACTGGGATACTTTATCCTGCCTGGAGACATTGCCTGAACCGGCCTCCCCCTCCCACCTTCATCACCCCAACTTAGCACTTCTTGGGGCTTTGAAATGCATGCATGCATTGGCCATGTGTCAAGCTGGGAGGCAAAGGGCCAACACAGAGCATTGGATTGCAGACTGTCAGTGTCCTGTTCTATCAACATGTGGCAACAGCAGCCTGGTCTGCCTGGGAGTCTGACTTGAGAAATGCCACAGATGTTTTGCGGGACCAGTTAAAAACATATACATGGGATGCAGCCCAGAACCAAATGGAAATGAAACCCATCACCACAACAACCCAGAACATCCTGTAGATGGCAGAAATCCAACATATGTTGTAGCAGGACGTGTTTGAGAAACCCACCACTCCTCACTTCAAAGCAGGAGTTCAGACCCTTATGAAAGCTGCGACAAACCAGAATCTGATAGCAGCGGAGGGCTGAGTTTTTATTATTAAGTTCACAATGGAAGTTTGGTGCCAAGCATTTTATTGGATAAAATTGACGGTTGGTCTTAAAACATCTACCCTCTGTGTTCTGTTTTAGTCAAATTGACTTTCCTAAAAAAATTATACATCAGTGAAATCAGAGTTGGACATGACTGTCCAGATGTGGCTTTCAAACTGAATTCTCAGCACAATATTGCAGGCTGCCTGATGAGCCAAATTAGCTACAGCCACCATTCTCATGGCATGGTGTGGCTCATGCATTTGGGCCTTGCTTCTCTCTTTCTCTCTGCCCTGAGACAGATTTCTCACTTTAGCAGCAAAGGATGGGGAAATTTTGAAATGCCACTTTTGCCATTGATGGCAATGTGTAAGTAAAATATTCCACTCTCAGCTCGTTTAAAACCCTGACCCTCATTTTCACATACTTT